ATCTGTGAGTTTATCTTAATTTTGAGATCACTGAGCTTCCCGGATGAGTAAATTAACACTTTTCATTAAATTTGAACATTTATAGCCACTATTTCTTCAATTACGTATTGTCAGCTCTCCTCTTCTGGTAGTTCATTATACATGCTTTGCTCTGCTTGGTGGGAGCTCTCATTTCTCTGAGGAAACGTTCGTTTTTCTTTGTTCTTTATTCTCTATTCTTCATCTTTCATAATCTCTACCAATCTACTTTTGTTTTGCAGATTTTTTTTTCTTCTGTAAATTCATATTCACTGTTAAGCCCTATGCTGAATTTTTCACTTTAGTTATTACACTTTCCAATTCCAGAGTGTCTGGTTCCTTTTCATAATGCCTCTTTCTTGGTTGATAGTCTCCATCAGACACTGTCATCACAGATTCCTTTACTTCTTTTAAGTAATGGCTTCCTTTAGTTCTCTGAACATAATTATAATGGCTGCTTTGAAGTCTGTTCATATCTAATTTAGCTTACTGCTGAATCTCCATTGTTTCCTAGAATATCCTTAGTTTTGTCAGTACAGGTTTCGGAGGGAGAGCTTCTGATCTCATTGAATCTCTGGACTGCCCCTCCCTACACCAGAACTCTGAGCTACTATGGAGGCACATGCAGAGATGGTAGCTTGATTTGTCTCAGCTTCTGTCCTACGATCAAGCTGGGGAGAACAGAATTGGACGGTATTCTCAACTTGCTGCATCTAGAGCAGAGCTCAGTATCCTGTGAGTGCTGGCTTGGTGAAGAAAGGAGGCTCCTAAGCTATCAAGCTGGATTCACCAGGAACTTACTGTCCCGCACTCAGATGTCAAAGAGACAGGAAAGGCTGAGAGCAAGCCCTTGCTAAAGGAATATGGAAAACACAGTCCCCATTTTCTTGGCCACACAGCTAAAGAATAGAATTTTCATGAAACTGAGCAGGAGAGACAGAGAAAATGAATGTATGTCATGGCTCAAGCGCCACAGACTCACAGTTTTTAGCAAATTTTCACTGATGTTCTTAAATAAATGTAGCTTCATTTGTTTTACCCTCTTGAGACAATTTCCACAAACTCTTAAGAGTGCCTTTTGGGTGGGCATTTGGGCTAGCAATTAAGATGTCATTTAGAACACTGTCGCATGTTTGCAACCATCTGGATTCTGCCCCTGATTGGCTGCTGATTCCACTTGTCCATCAGTGCAGAACCTGTGAGGCAGCAGTGATGGCTCACACAGTCAGGTCCATGCCTTCTACTGGCGAGAGCTAGATGAGTTTCTGGCTTTTGTCTTTAGCCTGCCCCCTTTCCATCTGTTGTGAGCATTTCAGAAATGGACCAGAGGATAAAATAATTATCTCTCATTACATTTCTGGCTCCCTTTGTCTCTTTCTTTCCTTCTCTCTCTTTACTGCCTCCCTCTCTTTCCCTCACCCATCATCCCCCTCTTCTTCAAATAAATGAAGACTTTTTTCAAAAATAACTTTCACTAGTTATGCCTGTTTCATTAGGAAAAATGTCTTTGGGGTTCTTCATACTGCCATTCCAGAGGCACAATTCCACTCTTTTATTTTCTACTTTATTTCAATTTACAGATTTCCCTCTAAAACCCTCTTTAGCCAAATCCCATAAATTTTCACATGCTGTGGTGTCTTCTGTTAAGAATAGTATTCAATTTCCCTAAAGACTTCTTTGAAGGCCAGGATTGTGGTACAACAGTGTAAATGTTACTGGGAAACCAGCATCCACATTAAAGTGCCAGTTCAGGTTCCAGCTGCTCCAGTTCCAAGCCAGCTTCTTGATAATGTGCCTGGCAAAGCAGCAGAGAGTATTTGGGCCCCTGCCATCTATGAGGAAGACCAGGATGGAGTTCTGGGCTTGCCCAGTCCTGGACATTGCAGCCATTTGGGGGAGTAAATCAGCAGGTGAATCAATCAATCTCAATCTCTCTCTCTCCCCCTGCCTTTAAAATAAATAAGTAATTTCTTTTTCTTTTTTTTAAAAGATGTATTTATTTTGATTGGAAAGTCAGATATATACAGAGGAGGAGAGACAGAGAGGAAGATCTTCTGTCCACTGATTCACTCCCCAAATGGCCTTAATGGCCAGAGCTGAGTCAATCTGAAGCCAGCAGTCAGGAGCTTCCTCCAGGTCTCCCATGCGGGTGCAGGGTCCCAAGGCCCTGGGCTGTCCCCAACTGCCTTCCCATAACACAAGCAGAAAGCTGCATGGGAAACGGGGCTGCTGGTATCAGAACCAGTGCCCATATGGGATCCCAGAGCATACAAGGTAAAGACTTCAGCTGCGAACAATAAATAAAATCTGAAAAAAAAAAAATAGCTAACATCTACAGCAGTACAACCAAAGCTGCGGCTTAGACAATCAAATAGAACATATATATAATGAAAGTGGCACAAAAACCAAAGGTTAAAATGATCAAGAAAAGCTGGAAGAAGATTTTCATTCCCAGTTTTATTAGGAAATATCTCTACTTAGAGGAGTAATTTCTATGAACAAAACTAACAATATACTCCCAGAAAAATGCATTTAAAAAATGTTCAGCTGTTTCCCTGCAAAATCTCTGCATGGAATGACAATTAGCAGGCTCAAATTCTAGAGCATCCAGTGTATCAGAATGATGATGTGACAGTAATGCCAGAAATATAGAGTACCCATAATTTACAATACCAAAAATAATTCTGCCTAATAATGGATCAGTCATAAGAATAAAAGAAAAAAGTCATGCATTCTCAGACAAAACTAAAAGTAAAGCAAAATCTAAGCTTTCTAATAAACTGAATTCTAACATTGTTCTGTGATCAGACAAGTAGTTCAGACTGATTAATGCATAGATGTTATAAATATATAAAAATGCAAGACTTTGATATTTTACACTGTAGGTGCACTCTTTGAACAATGAAAATGTGAAACAAAACCCAAAGCAGTCCTACTTCCAAGGCATTACCTCAAAATATTTTAGATGTTTTATTTTAATTTTATACTTATACCAATACAAGATTTAATCCTCTGAACGGTTAAGTAATCGTGAAAAGTAGTCTGTGTGCTGGAAACATACATCAAAAGTTTCACATGGCTAAAGGCAAAGGCAAGTTTAAAAGGATAGCTCCAGAATGTTACTGTTCACTTTGATGTTGCTCCCCAGCAGAAGAATTTGTCTTTAGGAGGGATTTCCTACGCTGTCCTCCCACACTGCTAACAGAACTTCCTCCAGTGGCAACCTCCCCACACCTTCACCGTGGAAACATTTCCTCTTGCTGTATCACCCTCCTTTCATCAATTCTACTTCTCTCTACTCTTATTTGTACGCTTCCAAAATTAACTGTTGATCCACATTACTTTCTGTTCCCATCCCTGCCCAACCTCTCACTGTGCCTATTTTGCGAGCCAGAAGTCCTCCCTCTCTGTTCTCCACCCGGCTATCTTTACTCCTACTTCTCTAACCTAGGGCTGTCCTCGTCTGGCTGCAGCTACCGCCTCTAGTAAAGTGAACTCCAAAACACACCTTCAACCTGAACTTCATGAAGCTCTAGACCTTGAATTTCCCAAGTAACACTATGCCAGTCTGAAACTTCAACACCACTAACATGGCTTTTCCCAGCTGACCGTCACTCCAATGGAAGAGACCTCCGTTTCTCAGAAGCAAACCGTTAGGTGCCCTTCAGTTTAGCTAGCCAATCACTAAGCATCCTTGAATCCACTTCCAAAAGTTGTTCCTCTCTGTCCTATTCTTCTTTGTAACAATCCCACTAACATGGGCTCTACTAGAGACACCTGCAGGGCAATCAGTACTCTCTCTCCATTTCTACTCAACCCAATACAATGTCCATAATTCCTCCAAGTCAACTCTGCTAAAATACTCCTTTCAATAAAGACCCGTATTAGCAGGAAAGCGCATAGGTTTGTTTTGTTTCTAAGTTCTGGTGGCGGTGCTGTGGCATAACAGGGAAAGCTGCGACTGTCTCTCGGTCTCTCTCTCTGTTGGTCTCTCTCTGCAATTTCAAGTAAAATAAATAAACATTTAGAGAAAAAAGTCCTAATGTAGAACTTCTACAAATCTTCTGCAAGGCACTGTATCAAAAATGTAATGTAACTTAAGAATCCATCAGAAAAAATAATTATCCAGATGAATTTCATTGCCATGTTAGTTATATTTGCAACAAACTGGAAGAAATGTAGTTGTCCAAAAATAAAATACTTAAATTAAAGCACATTTATCTTTGAAATATGGTTTATTCCTTTCACTATATGTATTTTGCAATTTATAAACTTTCATATGATAAAAGATATTTTAAGCTCTCTTTTATTTCTGAAATCATTTAAACAGTAAATATGTAAAGTGATATGTACAGGGGAAAAAATGTGTCTAAAGTTCAAAAGAAAAGCTACCCTTCACAACCTGGCATTCAACCTGCCAAAACCGCCCAGCATAACAACATTATCCACTGTTTCCAAATATAAATGTCAAAGATCCACACATGACATTTCACTTTTACTACCAAATCTTGGATCACGCCTATCTGTGTCTTGAACTCCGGCCTTCACCCCTGTCCACCTAATCTAATATTTTCATGTCCCTCTGTCTTTGTACATGAAAACCACCGTCCATAATGGCTCTTCAAGAAATCTCCCCATAATTTAATCCAAATAATCTTGCTTCTATAACTTCCCCTTCTCTCTCCTCTACCTCAGTATTCTACTTTCCACATAACTCATTGTGATTTTATCAAGCAGCATCTTACATTATTACTTAGCTATTTTATGTGTATAGTTCTTATTTAAAGAACTGGAAAATTCACCTGCCCACAACAGACACCATTTGAGCTTGTTATTTCTCTCCCTACAGTTCCTTTCAGGGAGAATACAGTACATGTCTACTGTTTGGGTTCACTGAACAGAATTACATTAGTTAAGATGCTCTCCACACACAGTATCATTCTGCCACATCAGTATCAACATAGAACAAAAACAAATTTTACCCCAAGATTCCAACTATTAAGGCGAGATTCAATGTCACTGTCATCCAAAGATACAAGAGTTGTTTTTGAATGACTTTCCTGAAATACAAAAGCGAAAAAGGAAGAAGAATGGAGGGAAGAAATAAAAGAAGAAAGAATGAGGAAGAAAAGGAACCAAGAGAGGGAGAAAGAAAAAGGAAGGAAGGAGGGACGAGAGAAAGGGAGAAGAAATGAGGGAGGGAAGGAGAGAGAGAAAGGAAGAAACGGGGAAGAAAGGGGAGTGGAAGGAAGGAAGGAGGGAAAGAAGGAAGGAAGGGACAAAGGGAGGAAGGGAGGAAGGAAAGAACAAAATACATGTCATTAAGAGTAAGAAATGTTTTGCTCACTTGTTTGGTAATGCTATATTGCCCTCAGAGAAAAGGATTATGTTGTAACTGAGCCCGAGTCTCAATGTACGCAGCGGTTATTTATTATCACTGCTTAGGGCTATGAGATGCCTTAACAATATTCACACAGTAAACAGATTCCAAGGGGGGAAAAAATCAAAAGAATATGTAAAAAAAATTAATCCAAACTCTTCAGACTCTTAAGTTCTTTTACAAAAAGTTTTAATTGTGGTATACCACAGTAGCCTTAAAGATGGGAGTGGGGGAGGGAATCTGAAAAGATGAATTATTTTCTTGCATTCAAATCAGCTAACAAAGAAATTCTGTGTTGATGTCCAACAAGCCCTTTGTTCTTAAATCAATTCTCACTGAGACACTGAACATAGAAAAATACGCTTTGGATTTCCATCATGAACACAGAACTAGGATGATTCTTTTTAAAAACAAAATTACGTGTTTTCTCCCTTCTCTGTAATTTATTATACTACATATTTTTTTCTAGCCAGATAACAACTAAAGCTCCCTATGAGCCACGCTTAGATGGACAATGATCTGAAGGCTCTAAAACTTCATAAAGGTAAATCTGGTTAGAACAACCATAATTATTTTATAGACAAACATTTTAATTTAAAATCAGTACAGCATTCTAATGTCTTTAGAAAGCCTCGCGACTAACAAATTTATTTACCTATGGTCATTTAAATTAACATGAGGTGTTTATAACTTTGTCTTCAAATTTCTATTCAACAAAGCATTGTGTTTCTAAGAGTTATATATTACATTAAAATGTATTGGCATGATTACTGGTGGTTCCGGCTTTTTTGTTTTTCTTTATGAACAAAGATTGCTTAAACAAGAAAATGAAACTGCTTTGTTGATTTTAAGCACAGTGATGGAGCTATCTCGACATTATTAAAGATGTGCTCTTTAACTATGTTGCTGTTAAAGCTCCAGTCCACCACTGGAGGCCATGCCCTGAGTTGGGCTTAGAGTCCTCCGTTACACTGGACCCCTCCTGCAGCTCAGCCACGTAGCCCAAGACAGCTGGAATTAGGCAACAAAAACTAGAGTCAGCAAGCAGTTCTTCTCTTCATAAACCTACCTAAAATGCTTATTCTCACCTGTTCAAAACCAAATCTACGTTAAACAAATAGATGCCAGAGAATTCATACATCGAGATATAAAGAGTGTGCCTCCTCCAGCAGAACCACAGCACTCCATTTCACTACAAGCCAATCCCAATTTCTTCCTAAATTTGTTATCATCTGGCATTTAATTACTTCCTTAGAAACAGTGAGTAAGTGGAAAAGAAAAATAATCAAGAATGAAGCTCTTTGAAGTTATTATTCTTTGATGCACAGGAGAAATAATAGATTAATTAGCGAGATACCTTTAAGTAACTGAGAAAACAAAAATCCTACAGATGATACCAGCCACACAACTGGCTTTGACATCAACACAGTCAACAAAACCATAACTTAGGGATGGCTTTCCACTAACCGCATGAACTTTCCTAATATGAAGCTAAAATTTTGTAGATTTACTTTATAACAACAAACAAAGCTAAGATTTGATCTTACACAGATCTTTGAGGTAGCATTTTGACTATCTTCTCTGTAACATGGACTTATAGCCTGTGTCTTCACTTGCAGTTTCCCTGCGCAGCTTCCCAGCTCCCTAAAGAGAGAACAAAAGCGTAATGATCAAAATTAGAAGAACTCAGAGAACGCAGGATTCAAATCCAGGACTACTCATTTTTTACCTCTTAGAAATGAGATGACTGTTTGCATTGCTAGTGATGTTTAATTAACAAGGAATATTATGTACTAATAATACTAAGCACTTGTACTTATGATATTTTATCTCACTTAGATTATAAGAAAAGTATCATTTAGATTGTAAGAAAAATGTTGCTTTTAAGTAAAATTATAATAAAATATATCCACTTAAATATTTTCTCATCCTTTCCTGTTTTCCAAAACATAGAAACTGAGAAAATGAAGCATATGTACAAAGACACCATTATTTTAAGTGGGTTATCACATTTTGATGGACTTGTGTTCCACATCAAAATGAAGTCTTTAAATATATAAAACAGAAAATCACATGTAACTTAAAAATTTAACTGATTTGGAACCATGTCAGAAAAGCAAAAAAAAAAAAAAAAAAAAAGTTAAATACAAGACAAGAACCAGTTAAAGGATTTTGACAATGATTCTTATTTAACAATAAAATACCATATTTAAATAACATTATCAAATGATATTTTATTTTATTTTATTTGAAAGGCACAATTACAGAGAGAAAAAGAGAGAGACAGAGATACAGAGAGAGCGAGAGAAAGAGAGAGAGAAAGATCTTCTGTCTGCCGGTTCATTTCCTGTCCAGCCACCTTGGCTAGCACTGAGCCAAGAGCCTCAGAACTCTCCATTACATGTCACTCAATCAAATTCAGTGAAAACTCCATGATCATGAATACCTATATCGTAAACAGAGGCTTAATGACACATAAAACGACAATTAATCATTCACAGTGCGACGAGTTAAAGTCACAAACTGAGTTATTCATTCCCCAAAAGACAGACTGCTAGCTCAAAAATCAACACAGAAACCAATGTATTTTTTGGTAACAGCATTAACAGAATAACAGTACTTAGATTAGTTATTGAGTAACGTAGAACATCAGAAAATCTGCTCCTTTGTCCAACAGCTGTTCCTTTTTATAGACTTTTATACAGGTATCTAAACAGTTCAAAGCAAATGATTTTTTTAAAAGGTAATATAATGGTTTGAGAATAATTTAATCAGTCGACATGCTTGAGCTGATATAGGCATCTAAAAAGGTGATATGTGGAAACAGGCAATCTGAAATATTATCTGAAATAATGGCCATATTTTAAGAATAGGTTAAATCACCACAGAAAAAGCTATACTTAAAATTTTAAATGCTTATATATTCAATGTAATTCTTCTCATAAAAACATTAATAAAAAAAAGAAGCCTGAAGCATTGATCTATTTATTACTCTGTGAGCATACATAAAACAACGGCCTTTTCAGTCAATTGCAGCTGCCCTTCAGTGCCAATCAAACTCCCTTCACAATAAAGTTATTAGAACCATGTCCTAACCTGACATGTTTTTCAATCAAGTACTATCTGACTTCCACACATCCTAGAAGTGCTGTAAAAACCTCAGCAGTGGTCGTGGAAACTCAGACAAATGAGTTGTCATCTGTCCTTACCCAGCGGATCTCACAAAAGATATTAAGAACAACACTTCATGGGCTGGCCTTGAGGTACAGCACAGCCACTGCCTGCCGTGTTGACATCCCCATATGGGCACTGGTTCATAACCTGCCTGTTTCACTTCTGATCCAGCTCCCTGCTAATATGCCTATGAAAATAATGGAAAATGGCCCAAGTCTTTGGACCCCTGCATTCATGCTGGAAACCTGGAAAAAGCTCCTGGTTCTTGGGTTTGGCTTGATCCAGTCCTAGCCATGGCAGCCATGTGCAGAATCAATGAGCAGAGGAAGATCTCTTTCTCTATTTTTCTTGCATCGTTGAGCTCTATAAATCAGTCTGTGTCTCCTTCTCTCTCTATAAATGTACCTTTCAAATTAAATTAAATACATCTTTTTCTTTAAAAACCTTTCATTAAAGATATCACACTTATTTGTATTCTTCCCTGATCATCATCTTATCTTTCAAAGCATCTTTCATTCACTTTTCTTTGTAGCCTCAGGGCTCCATGTTTCCATTGTGTGCACATCCCTGGATGATACACTATTTACCACTCAAATATTAAATAGAAGTTATACTCACCAAATCAATATCATGAGCCCACAGTGCTCCCACAGCCCCCAAACTCATCACAGACTCATCACAGACATACACATCTGAGCATGTCCAGAACTGAATCCTTACATTACCCTAAATGCATTTCCAGGAAAGGTTGTGAAGCAAAGGCATTGCAGAAATAAGCTTTTTGAGAAGGCAGCTGAGCCAATGAAAAGAGGAGCTCAGCACCATTGTTAAGGTTTCTGGTCAGTACAAGAAACAAGACACTAGGTGAAGAAGTTTCATTTCTGCCATTAGACTGTCTCCAGCTGGAACCATGGTTAAGTTAAACAGTGAGCCTCAAATTCAGAATGAAATGGCTGGCAGCTGCAGTGTAAGAAAGGATAAAAAATAACTCCACTTTAAATATCTCTTGTTTGACTAACAAGCTCTGACTACCACCCAGACTAGCAAGTCCTGTGTCTATCATGACAGCCTACAATTGATACAGACATTATGATCATAGTGAGTTCATGATACAATAATTGAACTAATTAGAAAAGGGATATCGCTGCCCAATTAATCTGAGAATGCCAAAACTAATGCAGAAAGAAAAGAAAAACATCAACGAATTAAGTAGAATTCCCTGACATGCTCCTTAGGACTCAGGCAGAAAAAGTAAGCAATACAAATTGGCTCTTTCACTCTTTTATAATGATACAGTATCTCAAAGAACAATGCAGAAAGTATCCAAATTGACTTTTTTCTTAAGATTTTTTTTTATTTTTATTTAAAAATCAGATATATAGGGAGGAAAGACAGAAACAAAGATCTTCCAACTGCTGGTTCACTCCTCAAGTGACAACAATGGCTGTAGCTGAGCCCAAACAAAGCCAGGGCCAGGAGCTTCTTCCAAGTCTCCCACACAGGTGCAGAGTCCCAAGGCTTTGAGCCATCCTCAACTGCTTTCCCAGGCCACAAGCAGGGAGCTAGATGAAAAGTAGAGCAGCTGGGATTAAAACCAGTGCCCATATGGGATCCTGGTATATTTAAGGCAAGGACTTTGGCCACTAGGCTACTGAACAGGGCCCTACATTGACTTCTAATACTACAGAAATAGACATACAACTCTACAAACAGATAAATAATGTGGGCTGGTGTTGTGTGGTAGCAGATAAAGCTGCCCACTGGGACACTGACATCTTGAGTCCCCACTGCTCCATTTCCAATGCAGCTCCTTGCTGATGGCTTGGGAAAAGCAGCAGAACATGGTCCAATTGCTTGAGCCCCTGCAACTCACATGGGACCTAGAAGAACCTGCTGGTTCCTGTTGAGACCATCTGGGGAGTGACTCAGCAGACAGAAGATTAATATCTCTCAATCACTTGCTCTCTTTCTCCCCCCCCCCCCCGCCACACTTCCCTTTCCCTCTATAATTCTTACTCTCAAATTTTATTTATTTATTTATTTATTTATTTTTATTATTTTTTCATTGGAAAGGCGGATATACAGAGAGGAGAGACAGAGAGGAAGATCTTCCGTCCGATGATTCACTCCCCAAGTGAGCACAACGGGCCGATACTATGCCGATCCGAAGCCAGGAGCCTCTTCCGGGTCTCCCACGCGGGTGCAGGGTCCCAAAGCTCTGGGCCGTCCTCGACTGCTTTCCCAGGCCACAGGCAGGGAGCTGGAAGGGAAGCGGGGCTGCCGGGATTAGAACCGGCGCCCATATGGGATCCCGGGCGTGCAAGGCGAGGAACTTTAACCACTTGCGCCACCACGCCAGACCCAAATTTTAAAAAAGTTATTTAAAAATGAATAAGACACATAATAATGTTTAAAACATAAAGATTAAACATCAAACATGGAAAATAAAAGAGCTGATGTAAGCTCCCTGTATGTCTGTCATTCTGCTTCCACATCACAAACTAAAAGGAAAAAATGCTTCTGCAAAATAAACTTTTTATAAAGGATGTTTTTAGTAGGACAGCAGAATAGGAAGCTGAAGATTCTCCTTCCTCCCATAAACACACAAACTCAGCAACGCAGTGATCAATTCCTTCTGTGAGATACTACGAGATTAGAGGAGATGCTGTCCACCCCGGGCAGACACGGAACCAACCACAGTGAGACTGGGTGCACATCTCCATCGCGCTCTCACATGAGTCCTCACATGCCTGGGAGGAGAAACCCAACTCATTGCTTATCTGTGGGAAGTGGAAAGGACTGGACAGTCAAAGCGCTTACTTCGGGGAAGAATGGCTACCAGAAGGACTGGTTCTTATTATTGTCCAAATCAAAGTTCTCATGGGAAAGAGACAAGCCATCCAGGTTGAGAACTGCTGATAATGAAGATTTCACTTTGACCTACATTTAGTAAGTAATGGTCATAACACCTCCACCAGCATTACACACACACACACACACACACACACGAGAAAAAGCCTTTAATCACAGCTTCTCCCTGGAGAGAGAGTTGGAACATCCATTCAGCATTCTGACTTTGGGAGACTTCTTTTTTTTTATTTATTCTTTTAATTATTATTATCATTTTGTGATACAGTTCCATAAGCCCTGGAATTTTCCTTATTCCCTTCCCAAAGCCCCCCCCCCAACTGAGCTCCCCTATATTGTTATTATAGTATAGCACTTCAACAACAGTCATATGTTCATCATTGTGGACATGGACAATGACAGAAAGTCCAGGATCATATTGCAGGATATAGTTAACAGTTTCATCAGGAGTCAATCTTTGATCTGGAACTAGAGATATACACTGCACTGTATCCTCACAACTGGACATGATAGTCTCCATTACACAGTTACTATACATCCCCTTAAATGAAAAGCCACTATACAAAACCAACAACAGGAAAAAAAATAAAAATGTACAATCC